TCCACAGCATGTGCTGCAGATACGGCTGTTGAGCCAACACATTTCAGCCAGAACTCAATGACAAGACAGGATTAACCAGAAGAGAAATAGAAGCACGTTCTTCTGTCGGTGTTTTCAGCCAAAGTCTGAAGACGGGAAGAGGAGCCATGTTTAATCACAGAATAATGATATTGTGATGGATTCTGACCTTTAGCAAGTGCTATCACGAATGGAGATTTAATTAGTGAGCCTGGATATCGGATATGTGGATGGAGTGGGGTGAATCGGGAGGAGCGAGGTGGAGGAGGAGGAGGTGGTGGGAGGAAAGTCTGAATGTTCTTAATGAGTCCACTAGCCTTTCCCTTCCTGAGGATGTGGCCGAGACTGACTCATCACCATCGTCAGCAGCAGCAACAAGCAGCCTCTGATTAGGGCTTAACAATCGGGAACAGAAGGAGCGGGGGGAGGGGGGGGGGTTAAGAAGATGATACTGATCAGTGGTTGGTCAAACACAGAACAAAACAAGAGAAATAACAAGAGTCAAGATGGTGGAAAAAATGAAGTGGAGGACAGAACATGAGAGGGTGAAGCGGTCATGGATGTTGGGAGGCGGCTGTGACTGATGATGAAGAGAAGGACGACAAGAAACATGGACGAGACTGAGAAGTCCAATAATCTAATTAATGGAAGTGAATTCATAGCCAGGAGCTGATAGTACGTGACAAATGTGCAAGAATAGCCCGTAGCATGTTAGCTAATGACATGTAATTAATGATCATTAGCAGGGGGGGGAGGGGGCGGGTGTCACGGCCCATCGTGGACTTACAGGTGACCTTGTCATTTTTTTTTTCCTCCCCGTGTCTTCGAGAAGCATTGTGTTGGAGAATAAAGGAGGACGAAGGGACAGAAGGATCCGGAGACGAGAATGGAGTGAGAAAAGTGGATTGAGCTTTTTATATAAGAACACAAAGAGAAGGACAGGCGAAAGAAAAGAGCAGTAGGGCGGTGAGCGATGAATCAAGGATCAGAGGGACGAGAGAGTGGAGTGTGAATTTATTGTGATCCTGCTGTTTGGATGTTCTGTGTGTGTATGTGTGTGTGTGTATGTGTGTGTGTGTGTGTTTTCTGACACACACACACACATGAAGGAAAAAGGCAGCATTTTTTATAGGTCACATGCCACCTCAGAATGATCTATGGATGCAGGCCCTTCTGCAGACTTATACTGTTGAGCACGCATTATGCAGCTCAACCAAGCATGGCCGTTCAGGGGGGAGCATCACCCCCCCCACACACACACACACACACTCACACACACACTTCCTATCTATCTTTTCCACTACCCTCATGGCCATCATGTCACTTTGTGTATGTGCTCTTCACTTTTATCTCAACGTCCCCAGTTGTGACTCAGAGCTGAAAGTAACAAAAGTTAAAAATGTCAAACGTTAAAGTACAAACATAGGCCTGAATGTGTTCTTTCGATGTACTCCTCATGGCCTCTCAAACTATTTGAATTTTTATTCAAATTGTGTGATATTTTGGCAACCAGTGACATTTGTCTCATTGAATGACTCTAATCCATACATGTCAAACTCAAGGCCCGGGGACAACCAGTGACATTTGTGAGTGTCAAACTCAAGGCCCGGGGGCCAAATGCGGCCCGTCAAGCCGTTTTGTGTGGCCCACGGGAGATTTAGTAAAGTCCATGCAGCGGAGTTTCTTAACCTAAGTAATTAAAAGTCCACAATCTTTTTTGTTCCAAGGACTGGTCAGCCAGGACCACCCGTTACTACAGACCGGTGTGAAGGTACCGAGCATCGAAGGATCATTATATTTTCAAAATAAAAAAACATCTCTTAGACTTCTATTCTTTTGGTATCAGAGTCTGAATGGCCTATTATTTTAAGATTAGATCATCTTTTGCCAGATTATCTACATCATCATTATCATTTTTCTACCATTAGATTAGAGTCTAATCCAATCCAACATCTAATTAAAAATAGTTTCTAACGACACCTTACACACTCTTTTAAAGACTCAGCCCAGTGAAACACAAACAAGTGAAAGCTTTAGAAAGTGAGTCTGTCATCCAGGATTGTAGCAGAGAAATAGTGAGAACAACATGTGGTGCCCACACTGAGTCCAATTGTTTCATCCATATCAATGTGTGTGTGTGGTGTGTGTGTGTGTCTCCATGTGTGTGAGAGAGAGACAGAGACAGAGAGAGAGCAGTGGGCTGCACAGACAGGCTACTCTAATGAGCCTGGAAGCTGTTCATCCTCTCTCTAATTGGAGGAAAAACACATCATGTTCAAAACTGCGACAGCGTTTGAAAAGGTAGAAAGAACGATGGAAAAAAAGAGAAGCAGGAGAGACAGAGAACGATTAGACGAACGGTCACAGTCTTGTACAAGGCCTCCTCTAATCTTGAAAGTTCGGTCCATAACAAAAGGTAGACGGAAGGATACGGAAACTGCGCCAAAGAGCTTAAAAAAGAAATATATGTGTGTGTGTGTGTGTGTCTTTTCTAAAGGAAAAAAAGTCGGAGTCAGACTTTATGATTCCCTCAGTATCCATGTTGGGAGAGTCAGGATTATCCCTCTGTTAGCTCACATCTTAAAGAAGCTCAACGTGCGGCAGATGTGAACAGTGACTTTAAAGAGTGTTCCTGTGGATGTGGGAGACACTGTGGTTATTCATATTTTAAAATATAGTGAGAAATGACTCCATCGTGGGTTACAACCAGGCAGGCAAAAAAAAAAAAAAAAAAAACTCACACATGCAGTACTTTCTAGAACATTCCTATTATTATTGTAAAATATTGATACATAAACTTAAAGCTAGTAGCCTCTGATAATTTTATTAATTAATATAATTATGTTGTGGTATCTAATGTTTTACCAAATTAAATATACTGTATATGTGAACATGTTACAGTACATAGGTGACTTGTTTTGTCATAGTCCGAGTGCATAGTTTTTTGATTGGACCATGATTCTGAACTTGGTTATTTAGACTCTAGTGTATTTATTCACAACTACTGCAGCATATTTATATCAGTCTAGTGTACTAATGTCTAGTTGAGTTTATCTTTGTCTAGTCTGGTGTATTTATATCTAGTATAGTGCATTCATATCATGTCTACTGTGGTCATCTTATGTCTAGTCCAGCGTAATTATATCTAGTCTAATTCATTTATATTTAGTCAAATGTGTTTATATTTAGTGTCATGTATTCATATCCAGTCTAGAGTATTATTATCTGCCAGGATATTATGAACTTGATTTAGTATTGGGTCATTTAGAGCTTGACGGTAAATAATCCTGGACTTCAAACCCTGATGGTTGACTTGACTTCCACCTCCTCTTCGTGACTGTGTGACTTTGTTATGGGCGACTTGGACTTGTACCTGTCGGACTACGACACTAGACGCTCTTTCTTCCGGAGACGAGGTGTTGACTACCATAATTATTCTACTTGATCTAAAAACCCTATTTCTGACTTTAAAAATAGTACAGTCTCAATCTCCACACAAGTCACTTCTACAGCCGCGGTGAAGGCACGGGTGTGCGTGTGTGTGTATGCAGATGTGTGTATGTGGGTCAGAACTCATCTGTCTCCTGCAGAGTCCACTGTCACCTGTACAGCGGTGTCTAATTTATGCACTCGTGCCGCTGATACTGTGGCTGGCGCTGAAATGGCATCATCCCTCAGCACTAACCCCCGCGTGCTCCCCTCTCACACTTCCTTTCCCCGACGACACTTTCCACCCCAGGCATGATTTATCAGGCCCTTGAGCAGCAGACAAAAGTGCCTCGGCACGTGTGCAGAGCCAGAGATAGATTAATAGATAAACACAGTGATTCAGGACCAAACATGAGAGAGGGTCAATTTCACAGTGTCTTCGGAGAACGTCGCACTGGTCAGAAAAATTATAGAGGATCAGATTTATGTTTCTGAAATATGACCTTTGACTAAGTTATCAAACACCTGCTGTGAGTATATATTTTCAGAATATGAAACTACATTGAGATATATTATAGAGAGCTAAAGGTTATTTTCCCTTCATTGACATTAACAGGTTGCAATAAATGTTTTAATCCAAGCCAAAAGAAATGAAAATAGCTGAAATATGCGTGAAATAGCTGTGAATGCGTAAAAGGATGGTATTAACATCTATTACTTGATTTAACCTTGTTTTTGAAGTGCATAAAGTGAGAAAACCAAAGAGCTAAATTGCTAAAAAATAGCATATGAGAAAAGAATTCATATGAAGAATAAAATTATGCTAATTTGGCTGCATTGTTAAAACAGTTTGATAAAATAAGGTGGTGGCTGTTAACATCTCATCGTTACGGAATGGAATGTGAAAAAAAATCCCAGAACAGAGCTGGTGAAACCCCCCACAGTGCAGCCAACCTCATTATATTAACAAGGGGTAAAACCTTCGAGAGTGATTTTACTCCAGAGGTGCAAACTTGCTGGGTGCCTCGTTTAGAAATTAGGAAAACAATGAGAAATAATTGTGTTTATTTGTGTTGCTAAATTACTTATTACACATTTTCTCCCACTGCTCACTGGCTAATGGACTTGACATTATTATGAACACAATTTGTACAGTTGAAGGCAAAAGACACAGCCTCGTTACAATACACCGCAATAAAAAAAGGGGGGGGTGAGGGTATGGGGTGCTGTGTATCACTGGATCAAGGAGCTGTCTCTTAACGATTAGGTTAGGGACTTCAGAAAATCTACATGCCCATGTGCCCTTGGCTAAAGAAACTTGGCACAGTCGGACTGAGAGGCAATGGTTTAATAATTAACTGCAGTTCAAAGTGCTGTGTGGCTTTTGTTATATTTTGTCTCAAATTGTCAGATATAGATGTTTAGTGTGTTATCTCAATATGTCACTATGTCACTTTTTTTCTTTTATTCAAAGGTCCAATTTAAAGGATTACAAAATGAATGATTCTGCACTGAGGCAAAAATGTATTTGTGTGTGTCGCAGTAGTACTCACCGCGCTGCTGCAGGGGATATCTTTGACTTTTAGCCAAGCCAGGTCCAGCGTGCCTTCACCCTTGTAGCAGGACTGCAGTCGCTCCTTAATTTTCTCGTTGATCTTCCTCAGAGAGAACACGCAGAGGGCCGAGTCTTGGGAGGCTTGTTGCGGACGTCGCTTCTGTCCTTTGGAGAACACAGCGAACAACACGTCGTCATCGGGTGCTACGTCCAGCGAACGCGCCAGGATGGCACCTGCTTTGGACAGGTAGGCTGCCTCGAGTAATCTGTACTCCACATTGCCGCTGATGCACCCGATGGGCACCTCCACGTAGGAGTTAAAGGCGGTGTCGGCCTTACAAAGACGGACTATCTTGGAAGTATAAACCTGCTCCCGACCAGTGGATGAGGAGCCAGTCGTCGGCCCACCCCCCATTTCGGGCTGTAAAGTCAGAAAGTAGACAAAGTTCCCACTGGCAAAGCCGTAAATGTAGTAAATGTCAAAGTCAGGGATGACAGTAAAGGTGTCTGAGGGGATTTTGATCATAGAGGCCACGAACTCGTCATGGAAGACATAAGCAAACATGCCATCCTCCTCTGAGTTTCTGGCCAGTTTACGACTTGAGATGGTGGGGAAGTACTCTGGCTTGCCGTCCACTGCCGTGGCTACAAACAGCATGTCCGGAGAGGCATTGCCGTAGGAAACAATGACGCCAAACACCGATCCACTCTCATTGACACCGGAGAGGTAGTGCTCCTTCTTGTGGAAGGGTTCTCCTAGTTTGAAGAGGTCATCTAGACGCAGAAGTTTGCAGATGCCCTGGTAGAGGCTGCCGCACGCCAGCAGCCGGTTCTCCCGGTAGTCCATCAGGAGCATCTTGTTGACATTGTTGGTGAGCGTCAGCGGCTCACTGCAAGGCTGGACAATACGAGGTGGGTAGCACTTACGGTTGTCTTCGTCTGGGCCCGTCTCGTGTGAGACCTGGACCTCCAAGCTCGGGGAGAGTTTATATATGCGATTGACGGCACCTAAATAAACGTTGCCGTTGCGATAGTCCACCGCCAGGTGGTTGAATGTCCACTCGGGGTTCTCGGAGCGAAAGGAGGCGTACTCCTCGTCCTGCAGGGACATTGTGATCACCTGTGAGCCAGCGCTGTGGCTCTGTGGGGCCTGCACCACCGTTTGTGACGTCACAGAGACCACCAGACTTGACAGAAAGCAGCATACAAAAAAGGAGGTCCATGTTCTGGTGAGGGCTGTCATGGCTGGGTTGAGGGTGGGAGCAGCGAGGAGAGGGAAGGAGGCACAGACCAGCACTGTCTCCAATCAGGATCAAGCTTCTTCTGCGATGCTGTGCATCATGTGCCTACGAGAAGAAGAGACAAAAAGAAAGAAACGCACAGTCAGATCAAGGGTCTGCACATGCATCATGAATATCCACGTGCAGAAACAACACGCGCTAATAACATGCTGCGAGCTCAGAGCATCACTGAAAAGACTAAGTGGATATTCACAACGCATGTGCGGAAACAACACCCGCTAATAACATGCTGTGAGCTCAGAGCATCACTGAAAAGACTAATGAGGAATATGGTTGAACTGGATATCACATGAATATAACTGCAGTAGAAATAACAGCGACGTGTAGTTGAAACCTCGGTGTAAGGTCTGCAACCAAGTGGATCTGGAGTTACACACTGGAGTTACACAATCTCCCCAAGGAGATCAAACTGGCTGTGCACAGTCTCTCCACATGAACTCCTGCCCCTTGCTGCCCCCCCACCCCCACCCCCCCACACCTTCCCAGCTCTAGCTACTGGGCATCTAATTGATTCTTTCCTTGGAGTTGCAATTTGCATGCTTTGGCGATTTCTTTCTTTTCTCCCTTCAGGCCTGCTCACCTGCTGACAGAGCTGGCAGAGAAAAACGCTCTTCTCTTCTCCCCTCCCTGTAAAGATACACACTCGTAGAAGTGGCAGGTTTGTACGTTGAGGAGCAACAATTAGAGGAGAAATGCATGTGTGTGCAGAAATACACCTCCCTCCCTGGAGTCCTTGGGTTGATCACCGAGTCCTAATAATACATGCCCGGAAATAACAAACACTTACGGACGCACAAACTATCGTGGCATTTTGTCTTTAGGTAGACTGTTAGCTCTGGTTTGTGCTGCACAAAGCAGCTTTTGTTGTAATAGTTGGAGGTTCACGTTAGTCTCTCCTGGGACAGTCTAGGTATTAGATCGAAGGAATGTCCTGATTCTGTGTTTCATGTATGAGTACGGTGAAGAAGATTTTGGATTCAGCTAATTTATCCAACCAGTATTTTTCAATTAGTGTGAATTTTGTGAGGTAGTCTTTGTGTTTTGACTTGTAAATTAGTCTTAGTCATTTGGTCAATGGAATTGTTTTGTTTATAATAATATTTAGTTATTTCAGTGCACTCAATTGTAAGTTTGATTTTGTCGGCTTTTTATTTATAAAATGTACTACACCGGAACTCTCTTTTCTTGTCCCACTTTGTAAAAAACAAATCTCTCACTCTTGTTTGTTTCTCCAACTGACATGGCAGTCGGCACTGATTCAGTAAGTCATCGTTTAGCCACAGGTGACTTTCTAGTCAGTTTTGATTTGTTTG